TGGGGAACCAGGGCGGAGGACGAACCTCACCGCTACGAGTCGAAAACCTAAGGCTCAAGAGGACGAGAATACTGTATCCATGCCCATCTAGAGGGTCTATGGATCAGGGGTCTTCACCTGTTCCAGCCCATTCCAGAAAATAGTGGGGGCCACCCAGTAGAAGGAGACCCTAGGGAGGACATGCTCCTGCCTGTCTAGATTGGGGAAGGGATCAGAGGATGGCAGGTGTTGTCCTCACAGAGCAGAGCAGGGAACACAAGCAAGGTCACCAAATACAAGAATGAAATGGCATCCATCAGTCTACTTAATAGAAGGTACTCTGTCCATCCCTACCCCTCCCCAGCCCACTAGCCACCCATACAGTGTACCTTCCACTAAAACCAAGACCCAAGAATGCCCATCTCCTCTCTTGACAGCCCTAGCCCCAGCTCAACACTTTTCCATCCCATTGGCCAATCCGTTTCAAGTCCACCTCCCTCAACCTTGCATCTGAAAAGAAAGTGTTAAGTCTTTTCTGTCCCTGGGCCTTTGCACTGGCAACGGCCTAGAACCAGTAGCACTACATTTGGCCAGCTTCCTAGGGTTTACACCTAGTCGTCCGCCTCCCCCTTCCCCATCCCCTCAGACCTTGTTCAATCTCATTAAAAACTTTTTTTTTTTTTTAAAGACAAAACACCTTGGGGTTCCAAGTTATCTCTTCCAGGCAGTAACAGATCCTCCTGACTGTGTCTCTCTTCTGAATGGAGCGCCTGCTGCCAAGCAGATCACAATTTGAAAAACTAGTATCACATGAGCCTCTGTCTTCAGGGTGCAGGCATGACCAGTCCACTTAATAGATGGCAACAAAGTCTCCAATACAGGCCCAAGGCCATTCATAGTGTCCCCTCCTTGGTTTCTTAGACAAGCTGGCAGAATAAGTCTGTGTAAAAGCCAGTGTCCTCAGAGATTGGAATCAAACAGGACCAGTGTATGTGTGTGTGTGTGTGTGTGTGTGTGTGTGTGTGTGTGTTTTGTTCTAGGTTGAGGAAGAGGCTTCAGTTAAGTAAAGCTCCTAACTCCTGGGGATTATCACTGGGGGTGGACCCAGTTTAAATCAGAATGCCTGAGGCTCAGCCACTCCTTAGTTGGAGCCCATTCATTAAGTCTTAATTACTCTGAGAAGACCCAACACAAAGGTCCTCCCCTGGTCTAGCACCTCTGGTCCTGAGTCCATCAAAGTGCTGCTGGGTGCCCCAGGGGGTTAAGGCAGCCAGGCTGGTGGTGACTAACAGTTATTTCACATTTGGATAAGGTTTCTGCTTTTCAGACTGCTCTCAACCTGCATCCCCTTGTTAAATCCTACAAAAGATCCTCCTGGTAGTTAAAAGTGTAATTAGCTTTGTCTGAAAGGGTCAGCAAAGCACCTAGGGTTCAGGTGCTTTGTACTGGGGCAGAGCTGGCTCTACCACTGCTGTGAGTGCCAGAGTCATTGGCTCTCTCAAGTCCTAGACCTCAAATGAAAAATGGCCTGAGGCAGCTAGGAGTTACAAATTACTAGGGGTGCACCTTTAATCCCAGCATTCGCAGAGGCAGAGGCAGAGGCAGAGGCAGAGGCAGAGGCAGAGGCAG